GAGAAATTTGAGCAGATGTGCAATCACGTGGTCTGTGCGGACAGGTGGGATACCTAAAATGCAGGTAAGCAGATGGTTAGTGTATTCTTGGTTTTATACCCTCCATCTTAGTGCATTTCATGTTCAGTGTAAACGTACTCAGCAAAAAGCGATGATGTTTTGTTATGTTCGAAGCAGAGTCATGTGACTTCCGCTGTTGTAACACCAACATCAACACGTTTCCAAGGCTTAGTGATGTATATATTTTAAGAAACTCATATTTTTTTGGATGAATAATAATAACAATAGAAAATTGGTTTAAATTCAAACAGCTTTCACATTTTAAAATGAAATATAGTATTCAAAAAATAATATCTGAAAATTTATCATTGATGTCGTTGTTTGTTTCATACTCGATTGGTGGTTTCAATACAGACTATCTCAGTCAATATTTTTAGAAAAGGTTTACTGAGTTTTTTCGCTAAAAAAACTCCCCCATGCTTTAACTGTTTGATGTGCCTAAATGATTTAAATGTAGTGAAATAAAAAAATTGCTCAAATTAAATCTATAAATTCGACGAAAAATGGATGACTTTTATTTACCATAGCAATGGATACCTATGTTAATTTCTAGAAATCTTCGCAAAGTATGTGCTTATGAATAAAATGTATAAGTTTATCATTTTCAATTTCCTTGTTGTTCCTAATACGAATTCCCAACAATTTACGTTTCAATGTATATGATTAATTTTGTTGCTTGGTGATCTGCCACAAAACGTTCCAGTAGTCGCCTCTCTTTCACACTTTATTAAACAGAACTTAGGATTGTAGCGTTGTGGATAGTAAAGACCACTTCCCTTCTCCCCCGTGGGTCAGCGGTAAATCTTAGGGCTTATTAAAACTAAAATTCGAGTTGCGATACCCGCGGTGGGGAGAGCATAGTGTTACGTCTCCGTTCGTTAGTTGATTTTCCGTAACTTCGTTCCAACGAAACTTTAGCGACACAAGCCCTTTCTTAAATAAAACTGGTTTATTCTTTCCGAATACAACTTTACGATACATTCAACTTCAACAGTCGCGCTATAACAAACTATAATTCACGTCTCACGAGCTCGACTTCAACAATATGTCTCTCTCTGACTGCAGTTCAATTACTCATTACCTACACACATTGTCACGTCACGCCGTGACCATCTTATATATACCAGCCCAACCCCAAACTAGCAAATG